CGTAGATTTTATTTCATCCACAAGTCACTGATTTTCCTCTAGATACGTTACAGGATAAGATTCAGCCACGAACAGCCATATTGCATTGCAAAGGCTGCAGGTCACATAATAATATATAAAGATTTTACCAGGGCTAAAAGTGAAGCTCTTGTTAATACACTGATAGTCTGCTCAAACAAAATATAAAATCGTGTGATGTTAAATGGCGACGGCAACGAGAACGGAAAAAAAACCAATATGTCTAACTCGCAAAATATAACTTTGCGAGTGCAGCACACACTCTTTGCCGTTGTTTTGCACGACTACAACGTAAAACCTCCTCTTAGTTACACGTTTTATGCAGGGAATGTAGTATGTGTTCCTGTTCGCTATATCTTTGTTCACTGCTGCTCATTTTCACGTTAGTGGCCACTAGCATTTCCCATTTTCTCCGTATAAAATTTTCATGGTTTTCTTCCAACAAAATTCATCTCCTTTGTTTTTTATCTCTCGCTCCGGCTCTTTCTCTGTCATACACGTCAGTGTAGACATTAAAATTTAGTCGGAAAATGACTCAGCTTCGATTACTGCCAATTCATCTTCATATGGATGGCGTAGATAATGCTGGTAGCAAATGTGACATTTGATATTGGCGTACATGTAGGGGGTGGACGGACGCACGTACGTGATTACTAAAATTTCTCGCATCTAGAGGTTACCATTTTTTATTTCCCATGGTGCTCGAGCTCTGCTATGATTGGCATTTTACTAGTCTCCTGCTTGCAGGCTTGGCAGGTCAAAGTGCCAGGGTGTAAAATGTGCTAATATTAAATAAGCAGTCTGAACAATAATTATCATCAGAAGGTACTGAACCTTTCAGGGTCAAACTGAAAACCACTCAAAACCACCAAAGAAGTCCCATTAAATGATTACACAAATTCTACGTTGTTTGGCTTACTGTGCTGCATGTGTCATCCAAAGCATGGCTTTGAAGATTACACAGAAAACACCTTGAGTGAGGTTATCAATAGCTGTAATTCCTACTGAAACTTAAAAAGTAAAATTGAAGGATAACACTTAACTTTACAGAGGTGCCAACCTCTGGAGACAAAAACTCTGGAGACTCTCTATTTTTCACTACAACTCCCCCCCCCTCTTTTCTCGCCCGCCAGCTCCCAATGGGAATGACTTAGGACATTATAAAAATTATGAAGTCTTAAATGCAGTACATACTATCAAAATTCGCAATCATTGTTCTGATGTCAGAAATAATCTTTGTCAGTGACTAAATACCTGCAAAAATGCCCCAAAAATCGTACTGTGAATAAGAAAAATTCAAGTTTTGAGCTAAAAATGGGCTAAATCTCAAACTAAGGCACAGAAAAGCTCAAAAGATAATTTTATCCGGTAGATGTGGTGACCAGTACGGGAGATCAGGAGATCGGTGCCGTATCCGGGAGACTCCCAGATAATCTGTAAGAGTTGGCATGTTATACCTGCCAAGTGTCACGCCTAAGGCGTGATTGTCACGCCTAAGGCGTGATTGTCACGCCTGCAGATCGAAAACTTGGATCTCACACCTACTCACGCCTGTGTTCCGATTTGTCACGCCCGGTAGAAAAGTTTGAGCCATTACAGCATTAACTGACACATTTTGAAACTTTTAACTATTTCAACAAACCAGAACCAAAGAGAGAAAAGAAAAGACTATGTGGATGATTGACTTTCTCCGAATTCTCTTTTTTTTAGTAGGGAAGTCAATGTTCCTTTGTGCTTTTGTGCTCGTGTGAGACGGAACTCTTCGTAACATCTTCAGAAGTCTTCGGAACATCTCCGGACATCTTTGGATATTATCAGACCCCTACGAAAAATCTTGGCACTCTTAAGATAAAAAATGTTACGCCTATAAATGTAAAAAGGTTGGCAGGTATAGCATGTATGACTTTACTTAAGGGGTTATGTCACTAAAGGATATTACTGTTTTAGGTCAGTTCTGTGATGAAGTCACATATTACAAAAAATCCTCCTGTAGAGTTATGAAGAAGATATTAAACAAAATAATAATATCACCAGAAAGCACCACCCATAACATTTTTTGGTTATTTTTGCAGGCATAGCATAACAACTAGAAAAAGGGTTGGCCCAATTTTTTCATGTTACAATCCATGTCTATCCTTGCCACCTTTAGCAACAGACGACAGCAAACAGTTTCAGTGCCTAAATATAGTCTAAAAAAATGGGCTATTATTATTGCAATGCAATTGATTCAAAGACACGTTTTAGCTTTTTAAAAATATCAAGAATTATCCTTATATTAATAATTAATTAATTAATAATTACTGCAGTTATTGCTTAATGTGTAGTTCCAGAAAATATCCATACTCCCCCCACGGAAGGGATTGGAAATTCCTCGGGGGTGGGGGGTTCTCAAAGGCCCAAACATTTGATTAAATGTATGAAGCTTGACTGGAATTTCCAGGGGGGTGGGGGATCTAAGGAAAAATCCCTTCCGTGGGGGAGGAATGGATATATTTTGGAACCACACAATCCTTCGCTTCACCTACCTCATTTTTCATGCCACAGCAAGCTCAAACTCATTGTGTTAAGGAAACACTTTTAGATTGTGACAACTGTTCAATCTCTTGAACAAGAAAGCTCTGATCAGTTAACTTGAAGACAACTACTGCCAGTGATGCACCATCTTTAGCATTTGAGGGTAATACTGACAGTTCCAATAGCTCATTTTCCTTTTTTTGGATTAGAAGAAAACATTGTATCCACCGTTCATAAAACGACTGTCTTGGAACAGACTTGGTGCCATTTGGAACTTTGGTTGACATCACCAGCATACCAGATGGTTCGTCAGAGGGTTGAGTACTACAATGAAACCATATCAATTTCTTCAGGCCCCAGTTTTTATAATGCTATCTAGTAGATAAATTTCTATCCAGCGGATAGTGTGATAATATTCAGGAATATTGGTTTTCCCAATTCATATCCACTGCATAGTGATTTTCTGGGGGATCGCCCTACCAGGTCTGAAAACAGAATGGGTTTTAAATGCTACATCTAAAAACAAGTGTGGAAAATGTCATTTTTTGGTCTGAAATAGGGTCAGGATTTGGAGAAACCGGCGGCACATCCCCACCAAGAATTCCCTGGAGTACCCCTCCCCCCCAGGGACATTTACTTACACGTGTTTTGATCTTTGAAAGACAAAGGCATCGACTGTCAATGCAAACAGCTTAGCAACGGATGACAAATCCTCATTCCTGATTGACGCAGGAAGATAAGTACTAAGGTCATCGACAATTATCGAGCTAAACTTTCGAGATGTGGAGAAATGAATTGACGCCATGTAATTCAAATAGTCCTCTTTTGTTTCCAAGTATACCATTTGTATAAACCTCAGCGTTTCACTTGAAGGCTGAGTTCTTCCATTAGCAAGCAGTGGAAGTTTAGAAAGCTTTTTAGGACATATGTAGAGCACATGTTTTTCTTCCTCTGCGAAGCTCAGCGCAAGCTCGAAAAGAAGTGATGTTTTCCCGCTCGCTGGAGGCCCGCACAGCATTATTCTGTCAAACCCAGGTGACTTTCGTGAATCAAAAAGAAAAGATGTACAGCATTCTTGCGCTTTTCCTGGGATTTCACCATGAAAAGGTTGACTAACACCTAGCAAACGAGACAACATATTTGTTTTTTGGGGGAAGCTGGAGGAAAACAACCTCATCCGGATGAAATTGTTCGCCAGGCGACCATTGGAAACTGAGCAAAGTACTGGGTACTAGGTAGGATTTGCTAGGACATAATACTTAGCCTTACATGACATGGAGACCAGAATCTAGTCTGGTTCATTGCTAATTATCTCATTTCGTATTAAAAAAGACAAAGCAAAAAAACAACATTTCCGAAAATTCTATGGATTCTATGTAAAAACATTTCCTACTTTCCAGTCATAGAAAAATTTTCCAAAGCTGTTCATAAGCCAGCCGAGCAAATAATTCGGGGCCTGGCGCAGAGCTCTCCTGGGTATCACGTGTTTCTTTTGATTGTAACTTCTCTCTCTTTGCACGACACGTCTTCAAGATGGCTGCCGCACGAGGTAAGCGAAATAATTCTTAGAAAAAGGGTATTTCTATCGGGTAACTGAGAATTTAATCGTAGTTGAGATGCGCAAAAGATAGAAGATAATTCATCTATGTATCGTGTGTTGATAAAATAATGCATAGTCAGAATCTTTCCCAGCCTCAGTACAGCTTATTGTAAGCTTATTATGTACATGTGCCAGGCATTTAGCTAAAGCAATAAGATTTTAAATACTAGATGGAGACGTTTTTTATCGTTAAACCTCCTTGAGTGTTCCGTTGTTGCACATTTTGGAGGCGTTCATCATTTCTATCATTTGATGAAATGATGCATGCATGTTGAACTCTCTTTGTTTTTTTCAATGTTTTACCTACTCTTTCGAACCACTTAAAATAAGTTTGTTCTAAATAAATAACACTACCCCTATTTAAAGCACTGAGAGGTAGTTATTAGTTTTAAAGTTATTTTCACAAGTATTTTATACTACTTCATGGAGATTTCCCAAATGTAGGGGTACAGAATGGTTCCTCAAAAAACAAGAGTCTTGGAAAGTTTTGGCCGGATCTCGAAATCTCGGAAGTGTATTTGATGGGTCTCATAGTCTCATTTTTGAGTGATTTTGTGTCTTGGAGTCTCGAACTTTTGTAAGTCTCAGTTTCGAATTTTGAAACCGGGGTGTTGCAGTCTCACAAAGTCTCAAATTTACCATTCTATAACCCTTCGTGTACATGTATGTGAACTTTATTACCTCTTAGAAATTCTAGCCAAATGCTAAGCACAGAAACTGAGAATAGAAACCAGGATACATGTAATTCAAAACCTAAAGTAAAAGAATGAAACAGTATGCACATTCTAGTTGCTGTTTTCCCTTCCTTTTCTTGTGATAATGAGTATGATTCATATATAACAAATTGTTTGTTATTTCCTTGTGACTAGGTGCCTGCCTTCTGCTACTATTGTCCTTTGCCATTTTTGCTGATGCTGTCTCTCTGTCTAATGTATTAAGCCTTGAAGACCAAGTTAGATTTAAACAGACATTCTATGATGCCATGCCATTTAAAGACCTGGAAACAGCTGGCTATTCAGTATTAGGCTTAAAACATTATATGAAAGCTGAAGTACCACCAACACAGGTATGCAATGCAATAGAAAAGAGAAATCAGTACTTAATTTTGCCCTGGAAGCAAAATTTTTGGATCTCAACAAACTGTGGTCCCGCAAGTATGGCTGAAGAAAAAAATAATAAAATTGGTAGGTACATGTATGACGTACCTATAGATTGCACTCAGGGACAAAACAGTAGCTCATACTTTTCTTTTATTGTTCTTCCATGGCAAGAAAGGATGTTGACATCCAGAAATTTTGCTACCATGTTAATGTGACATCACACTTCTCCTCTCTAAGCAGAACAGACTTTGTTTACAGATACATACATACATACAGTACACCTTTATTTAAAGCTTTGATTCACAGAGTAGCTTTAAAATCATATAATATAAATCTTATATTTCTGAGAAAGGAAAATGATGATACAAAAGAAAGAAAAGAAAGGAAGAGTAAAGGAAGGAAAGGAAAAAAAAAAAAGAAAAAGAAAAAGCATAAAGAGAAAAGGTCAGGTTAATGGCCTGGTATCTAAAGAGAGAGAGACACTCCATTCCAATTTTTTGTGAAAGTCCTGCCACATTTTAATGTCTCTATGGAAACCTGAATCTAGGAAGATGTGCCAGCGAGGAAACTTGATACCCTTAGAAGGATAATGCATTTTAAGAAGTGGCGGCAAATTGTTGGGTTCCAATCAGGGACTGGAGCTCATGTAAGGTAGCAGATTTCCTGTTGGCCTACCAACAGATGGCTTCTTGAATGTAGGTGAGCTTATCTACGGGGAGGTGGGTAGGGGCATCCCAAGACTTATGGAGAGATAAAGGGCAGGCATCAGAAAGATGATCTGTGCTACCACAGGAACAGCATCCAGATTTAGGGAGGCTCATGAAGGTAAAGCTGGATGTCATGTTTCCCCCACTTAATGGAAAGGTTATAGGAAGCCTGCCTTCTGAACTCCACATCAAAGATGTACCAAGCCATCCCAGGGAGTTTTTTTTGCTGTTAAATCTACTACCCAAGAGGGATAGAGAGAAACTATGACAGCAAGCCACCTATATTGATAGAGGTGATTTTGGGGCATGTAGAAGAGCCAGATGAGAGAAAGGCAGTAGTCAGACCCTGAATGTTCACCTTAAGGTTAAATCCTAATTCTCCTCTTGTTTGTGAGCAAATGTGAGGCAATTTCAAAGGAGAATCTTGAAGTTTATCATAACATTTGAGGCTATTTTTCAGGAACACCTTCATTTTACTAGAAGGCAGTACTTGCATCAGTCTGTTTAAATTTGTCATCAGTTAATAATACATATTTTTCTAATGATATTAGATGATGCAACATAGAATATCTTATCTCCACCGAGACTTCTCTTAGTTCAGTGAGATTTCTTGACTAAATATGAGATGACATTTCCATAACTGTGGAGCAGCTCTCCTACAAATGTAGAGGCTTTGTGTACATGTACTTTTATCTAAAAAGATATCAAATCTTTATTAGTTACTACAGAAATTATTAGACAGTCAAGTTTTGTTCACACTTACACAAAACGTGACTGACTAGAGTCAGCGAGTACACATAAAGCATGTCTCTCATAAACATGGTTGAAATTACATTGTTCACATCAGCTGCTTGATTCAAACTTGTTTTATGTATGTTACATAATAAATTTATGTGGATGAAGAAATTTGAAGGCAGTTATCATTCATCAGAAGAAAAGAATTTTTGGGACAAATGAATTACTGAGTTTGTTTAAAATGCAATATCTTGTAATGAAGACAGCAAAAACTGTTTTCTTCTGGTTTAAATGGAACCATGCCATTTACCTGCATAAGGCTTGATAAGTAAGCAGATAAAGCAGAATGAATGCTACCTATACTTTATTTTCAATTTATGATGTAGGTGCTGTAAAAGTTGTTAAACCAGTCTCCACATTGGAACTGAAAAATTTTGTTTCCTGATAGTTCAAGTTCAGATTCCCCCCCCCCCNTACACATAAAGCATGTCTCTCATAAACATGGTTGAAATTACATTGTTCACATCAGCTGCTTGATTCAAACTTGTTTTATGTATGTTACATAATAAATTTATGTGGATGAAGAAATTTGAAGGCAGTTATCATTCATCAGAAGAAAAGAATTTTTGGGACAAATGAATTACTGAGTTTGTTTAAAATGCAATATCTTGTAATGAAGACAGCAAAAATTGTTTTCTTCTGGTTTAAATGGAACCATGCCATTTACCTGCATAAGGCTTGATAAGTAAGCAGATAAAGCAGAATGAATGCTACCTATACTTTATTTTCAATTTATGAAGTAGGTGCTGTAAAAGTTTTTTAACCAGTCCCCACATTGGAACAGAAAAATTCTGTTTCATGAAATTTCAAGTTCAGATTCCCCCCCCCCCCTACCTCCTGCTTACTTCAGCCACCCACTTTGACGTGTTTCTGAGCAAAACTCAAACTACATGTAGTTACATTTCTGTACATCTTGAGGTAGGTTCGGTCATGCATAAGTAACCAAGTTTCGATTATGATACGCACAGTTCTCCACATGGTGTTTCACTGTGAAACATGTTTCAATCATGATCAGACTACAGTCATGTGAAATGTATTTTGTGCCAGTGTGAACATTCTTGTAATTGTCTTGAGTTCATCACCCATTTGTGTTCTTCGTTTGTTCTTCTTAACAGGATGTCTGCAGATTTGCTAACGAAAATGTAGACAGTAGCAATGTGAAGTCAATATTCTTTGCATCACTTATCAGTAACACTCTTGGGAATTGTAAGGTATGTGTGTGTGTTTGTGTGTGTATTACACTGTAAAAATTATTGGTTCTCCTGGAATGTAAAAGGAAAGGTCAGAAGGAAATTTTGTCAGTTGTGAGGAATCCATGTTGGCCTAGCTGTCTCTTTGTGTTATTTTTTCCTCATTAATGATACTCTATTTCATTTTGCACTTTTCCAGCTCACTGTCAGTGATGAAGGCAAGACAACTTTGTCAGAGGCAATTAAAGAGGGAACAGACATGCCAACTCTTTATTATTCAGTAGCAGCACAGAAGTATCTAGGGATCAAAGGTAACAGATCTGATTCTCAGTATGCCAGCAATGTACCTGCTATGTAGCCACCCGTACTGCCTGCAATACTGCTATGCCAGCAATAAGAACATAAGCTGCTGGCCATAAGAAACATTGCAGGTCTTTACCCCTGGTATGCCTATGAAGTTGAAATTGATTCATTGTCACAGGCATGTCATGGTAAAGACTGAGATGGCATCTGTTGCCAGTGGCTTTTGAAGAGGTTTCAGTCGTACCCTATTTATTTGATTAACTTCCCTGAGTGCTTATTACATTTTTGGACCTTGATAGTGGGCTCTTAATCGAGGTGGGTGTTTGTTTGAGGCTGGGTGGTTAATAACTTTTTCTGCCTCTAGGATGGGCGCTAATTCGGGGTTGGGCACTTATTCGAATAAATATGGTATTTAAACCAAAGAATTTTATGCAAAGATTTAAAAGTTAGATTGACCATGAATGTTGTCAGCTTTAGCATGTCCTAGAAGTAAAAAGGGTTTAGAGAGATGTCTGCCTAAGAAAAGTCTATCTAAAATGCAGTCTTATTGAAAATGAATTTTCTTGTTATTAGTTAATACTGGTGAGGTAATCAAGGCAGTGAAAGCAGCCATCAACTCAGATGAAGACAGTATTTTAGGGTAAGAAAGAATTCCAGTAATTCTGGTAACCTCATTTATTTTCATGGCCACTTGAAAAAAAAAATGAGAGTAGCTGCTAAAATATTCCAATAATGATGTTACAGTAAAACTTCTTGGATACAGTCACCAAAGAGACAGAGCCAAGTGTCTGCATTACAGAGGTGTATTACAGTCACACCTCCTGATACAGACACCAGTGAGATAGAACCAAGTGACCACATCACAGAGGTGTCTGTTTTACAGTCAAACCTCCTGATACAGACACCAAATACACAGAGCCAAGTGTCTGTATGGCAGCTCTGGTGTCAGTATTACAGTCAAACCTCCTTAATGTGGACACCAAAGGACGGAACCAAGTGTCCACATCACAGAGGTGTCAGTATTACAGTCAAACCTCCTTAATACGAACACCAAAGGACGGTACCAAGTGTCCGCATTACAGAGTCGTGTGTATCACAGTCAAACATGATACCAACACGTAAGGGACAGAGCCAAGTGTCCGCATTACAGCTCTGGTGTCAGTATTACAGTCAAACCTCCTTAATATGGACATGTGACAGAACCAAGTGTCCACATCACAGAGGTGGCCGTATTACAGTCGAACCTCCTGATAGAGACCCTAATGAGACAGAGCTAAGTGTCTACATCACAGAGGAGTCTGTTTTACAGTCGAACCTCCTGATTCGGACACCAAAGGGACAGAACCAAGTGTCCACATCACAGAGGTGTCTGTATTAGAGTCAAGCCTCCTAATACAGAGACCAATGAGACAGAGTCAAGTGTCTGCATTACAGAGGAGTCTGTTTTGCAGTCAAACCTCCTGTTACAGACACCAGTGTGATAGAGCCAAGTGTCCGCATGACAGAGGTGTATTACCATCAAACCTCCTTGATACGGACACTAAAGGACAGAATCAAGTGTTCACATCACAGAGATGTGGAGGAAGGGATTGTGTGAAGCTTGGAATCATTGGGACTAAGGAATCTGTCTGTAATAAATACACTGAATGTAACTTGACCAAATTAACCCTTTCAATATTTTATTAGTTAACTTAAGTTGTCTTCATTCATAGCAAAAACAACCAAAAATACATATATTTGCAGTTTCATGTCCCATTAGTTTTTTTGTACTTCGAATTCTTAGCTGAACAGGAACATTTTCGTAGTGAATTATTCTCCTTGTTGAAGGTGCATGTACACTACAATGTACATATCATTGGATCTGTCCACATCTTTTTACGGTGCACCTTTGCAGTTTTCTGGAGTTGAACTTACTTATATACATGTATCATTGTATTTTAGGGCAGCATATGCCATGCTCATTGCTGCAAGGTTACCAAAGGACACTGATGTTTCTTTCATCACTGAAATGATTGAGGTATGTAATTAGCCTTTTAATTCTCAGAGGGATCAGATTTATAATATTTATTTTGCAAGTAATGATGACAGTTATATCAAATATTATTTTAAAATAGTGTCATTAGAAATTGCAGCTACATGGAAGTTCCCCTCAGTGAAATGGCAAGGGCTGGGAAGACTACAGTAAAAACCCGCCACTAAGAACCTACATTTTTAGGAGTTAGCCTAAACAGGTTCTTATATAAATGGTAGTTTGCAGAATTTTAGGCTATTTAGGTTCTTAAAATGGGTTCTTAATCCTGGAGAAAAAGTAGTTAGTATGCTTTGTAAGTCTACATATCTTGCACTCATTTTTTTTTAAAAAACATTTTTACAACAATGGCAATCTGCTTTTTTTGCTTCAAATATGATTCTTGCAATGCAGCTGTAATGTACTAGTATGATTTGGAAAATAAGAACCTGTTTTAAATTTCTTAGGCTAAATAGGTTCTTGTTTATAGGGGATATAAATGACCAATTTTAGGCTAACAGGTTCTTAATTTTTAGGTTCTTAGTTGCGGGTTTTTACTGTATTTACCATTGCAGATATGGTGCATAACTGTATTGAATGGCGCATTTTACCCGTAACATCACAATGCTTGTTTTCTATGCTGTTGTTCATGCATTTTATACACTCATTAGTGCTGATAGGAGAATTTATAAACAGTCGAGATACAACGTGATACAACTCACTTTGACTCTGAAGATGACTACTGCACAGGTTGTCGAAATGTCAGTCACTGTCAACAACAACAGTCCTATTCAGGACTATGTTCACCCGGACGATCAAACTCAACCTACTTTTTACATCCTCTCTTTGATAACCTGCTTTCCTTTATTCCAGCAACATTAATTTTATCTTTCATAAGACTGTTGTATTATTAGTTGACCATTTGCTGGTCCTTTTAATTTTTTTTTAATCTTTTGTACTGTAGGACACAGTGGCTCAAGCTGATGAAGTTGATAACAAATATCTACAGGTACATGTACAACTGTTGATTGTACGGCCTTTGTGATCTGCTTTACCCACATTTTAATTGAACTAAATTGAATCTGACATTTGGGACATGTTTCCCATCCCAGCTGATACAGTTAACTTTATTGGTTATGGTCTGACTTTATCCTTGGTTGAATTTTTTGCTTTGTTTTTAAGTATACACGATTGTAATCAATGGTTTCATTGAGTTTAATAACACACAGAAATTTTAGAAATTTTATACTGGTTGAGTTATTGAAATTTAAACAAAATGTACACGAATTGAACAATTGACATTACATGTATACTCAATATTTTGTTTTCCAATTTCTGTACAGTTTGAAGGTGGACTTTTGGTGACTGCAAAAGTTGTTTATGCTACATATGCTTTGTCAGAGTTCCTGGGAAAAGCTCCAGCTATCACTGAAGTATGTGGCATTTATTTATTTTAATACATCTGCTTTGTTTTGTTTTGTTTGTGTATTGGTTGTGCCTACTGTCTCCCTATGTTGTAAGCAAGTCTGTGTATTTCCTCAGTAAATCCAATTCCAATTAAAAGATTATTATGGTCATTGCGGTGGTCAACATTTCGGGACTTCAATGGGATTTGAACCCATGGCCTCTGTGTTAGCACTGCAGTTCTCTACCAATTGAGCTATAGACCCAATGCAAAAATGGCTGCTTGATTAACATTCTTTTGTTTGAATTTAAATTAGCCTAACTAGCCTCGTTCTCCACTACAAAATTCAAAAGAATACATTTTCGCAAGCGAGGCTAGTTAGGCTAATTTTAATTTAAACAAAAGAATACTAATCCGGTAGCCATTTTTGCATTGGGTGTATGAAGACCCATACATTGGGAGTGGGCCTATTTGTTGAGTTCATCTTAACTCATGAAAGGAATGAAACATAGAATGTAGATAAAGATGGTGTGAACTGCGGAAGTACAAATTTACATGAAGATATGATTGTCGCAATGGTCATTACAATTTATTTGCAATTGCTTAAATTGCAATGATCACTGCGACAATCATATCTTCATTTAAATTTGTAGTTCTGCAGTTCACATCATCTCCATTCCATAAATCCAATATCATGATAAAAATTGGCCTGGTTGTTGCAGTACTTTATTTTGGCAGTCAAAAAATGCTTTAAGTGACTAGCTTCAGACAGTGTTTCATTGCATTAATGTCCAGTTTTCTTACTGAATGATGTGGCAAGTGCAGTTTTTTTGCAAGTAAACATTTTTACCTCCAGCATGAGGTTTTGTTTTGAGGAAGTCAGTTTAGCTTTGTTTCTCATGAAGTCTTGTTGTTTATCTTTCAGGAACAAGTGATCAAGTTTGCAAACTATCTTCTAACAAGAAAACATGTTCAATCTGTGAAAGACACTGCAACACTGCTTATAGCCCTTGACCAGCTAGGCAACAATCCAGTGAGTTACATTCTGTTTGTCCTTCTACATGTACATTCATCCACCACGACGTTAGTTTTGCTTATTTTTCTCGAAATGCCTCAATTAGCTTCCACCTTCAAATACATTGCTCAGATATTTTGGTAATCCAGGGTAGTAGTAAATTCAAGTATTTACAGAACAGTTAACTCCCCCATAGCGACTACTTCTCGTAACCGACTGCCTCCCTTAAACCTTTAAGTCCCGATAGTGATTAACATCAATTTTCTCCTAACAATATCCATATGTTGCCAAGAGAAATGGTTATGAGAGTTAATATAATGATCACAAAAGAGAAAAATAATGCTTTGATATGCTATCAAATTCTTTCAACTAATTCGTTAAGGAAATGTATGGATATCAGTTTGGAGAATTTTTAATTGGATGTCGGGTCTTAAAGGGTTAAGGAACCACTTTGAAGATAATGTTTTCGTTTCTCAGTCAAATACTGTTTATAAAGCTCTCTTGTAAGCGACCAATAGTTAAATTTGTTAAATGATGGTGACCACTTTTTAGGCGAGAAATTTGACATGTTTTGTTTTCTGTTTCTGGTACATGTAAGCGACCACCCAGCTTGATCATGAATGATTGTAAGAAAACCATTGCTCGAATGTCACAAAAGTTCAGTTATCAATAGTGCTGACCAAGCATGCTGACAGATTATAGCAGTCTACTTACCAAAAAAATGGCTGTTTTTTGATCTGTAGGTAGAAAAGTGGATTGTAATCTTGGAGCAAAATGTTATGTATATGTACAAAGTTTTGACAGTTCCAAGCGCTATTTGATATAATGAGCTTATTTTCAACCACTTTGTCAGGTAACAAGCTAAAAGGGTGTTTACTTACAAAGAGAGTTGACTGTATATTAATTTAATCTTAATTTTCTTGTTTTCAGTTCCATGTCCCAGTTGTAGTACAGCTTTATGGGTCCCCAGTTGTTTCTGATGATCAAAAGATGGTCAAGGTTTGTAAGAGAATGTGTTATCTCTATAAGAAACATGCACAACGTAATCTGAAACTCCTACATTTTGGCTGAAGGTCTGTACATGTACATGTAGATAATCACTTTAACATTTTTAATTTTGTCTTATTTTGGGCTTAAAATAAAAAAAAAATTACAATTAAAAAAATATGATGTTCAATGAATACTTGCAAGGGTAGGAATTTTGAAGTCTGATTCTTTTCTTCTTGCCAGTGGCAATGTGAAGTTTCATCTAACCTGAATATATATTTCAGGTCCGTGTAACTAATGTCATGGACAAAGCACTAGGTAAAATGACAGTGACTGCCACATCAGCTGAAGACACTGAAGGTACAACAGTACTGAGCAACAAAGTGTTCACTGCTGGACCTGAAGAGTAAGTGCACTCAGTTATTTCAAACCAAATATAAAATTCTCAGTTAATTCAGCAGTCAAAATAGGGGGAAATGGCAGCAGAATGAAGTTATAATAATCATGGTAGAACTTAGTACATTACAGATACATTCAGTTTTTTTCTGCGCTTGTTGATTGTTAAGACTGTTCTAATTAAAAACTTTGGTAATAGTTCTTTGAATATTGTTGTTTTTAGACAAAATTAGTGGCTTTATTTTTGTACAAAGTTAAAATAGATCAGTCTCGTAGCAGCTAACATTTTGACAGACCCTTGCTTACTAGTATTTGTAAATACAAATTTACTTGTTTAATATAATAATAATAATAATATATGGTAATATACCAATTATTATATTGACGTGCTGTGATGTGCCTTTAAGTTTGCATTTGTGGCACACATTTTCCCAGAATGCATATAATGCTAATTAATGGGGTATTAATTTTGCCCACACAAGCTTGTAGTAATAAAAGAAATAATATTACAGATGTACAAATAACTTACTTTTGCTCAGTAAGGAACGTGCAGATTATTCATACATGTAAAGGAATAATAACCCAAATTAATACATGACTTGTAGCTATAAACCTAACAAATAATGTAGAAAGCACAGATTTTGTTCTCTAAACTAATGATAATTACTATTAAAATGAACATTGCTTTTTTGCATGAGTTGGTTAAACTATCAACTTAAAGTTACAAGTTATAAACCATTCCACTGTAGTGACTTCATTGTTATTGAGACTGATCTTGGGCGAGGCATGTTTGCAGCTCATAGGTAAAGTACATTGTAATTTATCAAATCAAATTTAAAAAAAGTAAAATGAGATGTCTTAATTGTAGTTTTTAGGAGCAGTGTAAACCTTTTAGCATTGAAAAGATGTCGTAAATTTTAATATATTAAAAAATTAAAACTGTGGGAATATTACCTTTAAGAGTAACACTAAAAATCTAAAATAAAATGATAAAACATTCTTTTTATTAAAATAATGAACTAGTAAGGAAGTGTAAAAAATTTCAAACAATTGAATTTTGCAATAGTAATGTCAGTCTTCAATAACAATCAATCATTTATAGTAAACCTCGAGCAATGCAATAATTGATTATGGCAAATACAAACATTAAAACTTGTGTTTTGCCTTTAAATGGTCTCATTGTGCAGTTGTAATCCACTGACAACCCTTTTCTGATACATATTTTTTCAACTACATTGGACTGTACTGTAGGACAACTTGTCAGTTTTCCATGATATGATTGTAGTCTGTTTGTGTTTTAGCTATCAGTTAAATTTCATGACATCAAAACCTGGCCCTGGAGTATACACTGTCAATGTTGGGTAAGTTCAGTTTGCATTTTGCTATAATAAATCATCATAACCTTTTTCATAATCACCGTCATCTTCATCAGACTCCATCCTCACCTTGATCATCATCATCATCATCATCATCATCTTGATCATCATCATCATTATCCTGACCATCAGCTTTATCTTTATCATCTCATTATTATCACTGTCATCTTTTTTTAATTTTGGACAGGCTGGAATCCTGGCCATATTCATTGTTGTTGTTATTGTTGTTAATCGACTGGCTTGACAGGGATTGCTTGTTGTCAGTTATCTTAATTTTTGGCATGTATTGAAGCATCAAATTATGTGTTTGTTATCAGCGTGAAACCCCACAAAGAGGACAAGCGTCTTATTGGCACCACTTCTGGCCAGGTAAAACTAATTCACTCATTATTGCTGTGCTTAACAACAACTTGTGTAATGGCAGCTTGCTTCTCTTTCTTCCAGTGATATATTAATATAAGGCTTTTGTTTGGTTAAAATTACATTTCTGAGGAACTGCTCTCTTCTGGCAGGTTAAAGTTAAAGTTGTCACAAAAGTAAATGTTGAAGACGTGGAATTATCAGTTGTGGACAAAGAGCAAAACATCAAATCCAAGACTACCAGGTAACTGTCCATTTCTACTTTCTAAAACGTAAATGTTTTGCAGTAAATTGCTCTGTGAGCGATTGGGATAAAAGTTTCAGGATTATTGAAACATCGCAATAAGTTTCCCCTGATCTTGCAAACAACAGTCATCTCCCTTGGTTGTTGTTCAAGGGAAAATTAGCATGTAGGGTTTTCAGTAAGATTTCAAGGTGCTGGGTATGTGCAAAATTTAATGATAGGCCAGGAATTGAAAAGGTAGGACGATTTGTTGGTTCTCTTTTGTTTCCTTTAACCCTTTAAACCCTAAAGCCAAAATTTGAATTCTCATATGTTGCCCCTATTCATTTCCTACAGAAGTAGTGGGGAGAAGTTGTGTGATCATGTCCGTAATTCTCATGACCACTCTGTTTTACGAAGCATTGATATTACAAGGAGAAATTTGATGCTGATCACTCTTGTGGCCTAAAGGGTTAAAATGAGGCCAGGATCCTGCTCATAGTAGCTGGGGAAAATCCCCTGTCCCCACCCCTTAGTAATAAGGTTAAAAGTAAAGGTAAAGCAACTATGATATTTTACGTCAATAATTTGTGGCAGTAATAAATTCAACTGATAAACTTGAGCTCAATGGTGCGCTCATTTTAATCCCTCTCGCCATCAGTGTGTCATTTTAAGGTTCAGGAGCTTAGTGTCCAAATAAGCACATAATTATGCCCGTGGGTACAGCTGATTATAATCTGGAAAAAAAAATAGATGCACTCAACTGAGATTAGGAATATATGTATGCAAAATGTAGCTGAAGTCAGTGAAATTAGTAAGTGATGGTAGACATCTCGCTCCTTGCTTGTAATCTTCTTGATGGTGTCACTTTTTTACTGTTTTTCTTGTTAGCACTGTACCTTAGCAATAACAATATAGATGGAAAAAATAAACAATTAACTACTGCATTTTCCTTCCTACTGAAAACGCAGGAAATGGCATTTCCAAGACCTTAAATTTCAGACCCCCCTATTTTGGAGTGCCTTCAGGGCTGTAACTTTTTACCTGTGCATACCCCTTTAAAATCTCTTGCTACGCCCCTGGGGGTATTGAAAGCGAGTTAAAGCTCTACCGAAAAGAGCAAAGTTGAAACAAGGATGTTATGTCACCAGGAATAGAACTTGGGACCTCTCGCACCAAAGACTGCATTCTAACCAACTCCATACCAACTTTGCTCCTGATAGGTGCAGCCCTGTGTAAGGTCTCAGCATCACTCTTATTTCAGGTTCATTACTTTACCTTTTATGTATTGTTTTTCAGTGTCAAGTACCCTGCAGCCATTACCACCGTTATAGAAGCTGACTACCACCAGAAAGTTGTGATGAAATTCTCCTTGAAGAGTGTCTCCTCTGGGGATCTGTTTACTCCTCATCAGGCATTTGTTAGACTCACCAATGAGAAAACCAAACAAGAGATCTTCTTTGTTGCTGAACCAGAGCCAAGTAAAGTGTTCAAGTTTGATCTGGTGAGTGAGAGCTAGCTCTACCATTTATACATTATTTTCAGCTTCTATTTAACAATTATTCCATGAGTATGTGTTGAATATGAGATAGTAGATAGCCAAGGAGGCACATAGCGCCAAGTTGGCTATAATCCTCACATATCCAACAGGCGCGAGTGCAATAATATTTTATTGTTTTGTTAAAAAGGGCCACAAAATTCCGAGAATTCTTCCATGTATCATTTTTTCCCTGCTTTCAATAATTTTTTCTCTTTTGTTAATATTCAGGATGTTGGTGCCACTGCAAAGGATTCTTTTGGTTCCCTTTCTGGAAAATACAAGATGGTGAGTGATAAAGGGATTTAAATAGTAGAATCCTGCGATCCAATCACACTTTTTTACATTCCTGTGAACAAAGGCACGTAACTACTGAATAATGATTTGGGTGAAATTATCTACCCAAGCCTCAACCTTGTTTTTGTTGTTTGTGATCGCTGTTGTGGAATGCAGAAAAGGTCTGTGCCTACTGGTATTACAGCCTATGTCATAAACGTAATTAAAATTCAGTTAGTAACATCTGTGAAGCAGCACTGATATCCTTGTTCTTGGCCCCAAAGGACTAAACGAATTACCAGAAGTGCATTTTGAATTTCCCTTCATCTTGATTGGCAAATCGACAATTGGTTTTTGAACGGGCCAATCATGTCTCATACTCTAATCCTGGTACAAAGCTGGGAACCCAGAACAAGGATTTCAGGGCTGTTTTGCAGACAGACTTAGCCTGTGTACAGCCACCCATGCCCCTGAGAAAAAAATAGGTGAAGGGGCCCCTTCTCTGATTTTTTCCAAGGGAAGGGGGCGGCTATACACGGGCTAGACAGGCTTTAACCTGAGTTTAGCTGTGATGCAGGTAATGGTATGGATGGCATTAAGGAATCGTAAAGTTCTATTTTGGTAGACCTAGTTAGCTGCTTTACTTCAGTATAAAGCAACTCATCACTTTGAAGGGAACAAAAATGATATTAATTTCTGTTTCTTGTAAAGTAATGAAAAACAAATACAGTGGTACCTTCTAATGGCACTGCCAAAGACATACATACAGTTGAAGTTGCCTGATGAGTGTGGTCCTACAAATTTCGGACCATATGAAACAGCACTGTCGCAATAAACGATCAATGATTACTCCTGAAGCCTGAACTCCTGTGATTATTAATACATACATACATACATATACTTTATTTATGCTCGAAATTTACAGAGTAGCTGTAGAGCTAAAATCTTCGAGAAAATAAGTTAAAATAAAATAAAATATGCTATATTACAATTCCAATATTATTTATAAACTATATACAACATTATGAATCTTATTTAAATAATAACACCACAGGATTTCCTTCAAAGACTTGAATTTTAAATCTGTCTATTCACTTTTGTAGTATAAATGAAAATTCTAATTATAAAGATGGTTCAAGATTATTTTTTAAACATTTTTTTCATGATTTTCTGATTTCATCTCTTTTCAAGGATCTTATTATTGGTGATGCTGTGATTCAAAATCCTTTTGAGTGGAAAGTGGTGGGTGTATTTTTTTTTCTGTTTGTCACTGTTACAAAATCAACTAATGTGTTAATAAAGGTTTACAGCCCTTAACTTATCCAGCTAGTTTACAGGCACTCAACTCAGATACTTACAAACAAATAATTCAAATACAACATAACAGGATTTATAACCCCAGCTGGCAGGAGGCAACCAGTTGGCTATTTACAAGCGTGGCCAAGGATTTGAACTCTGGAAAACCAAGAACAAATCCAGCAAGTGGTCAGAGTGGGACTGCTGGAATGCGAGTCTAACGCGCTGACCACTTGGCCACGCTGCCTCCTTCAATCAATGTTTTGATTTCTTTTTTTTAGGGTGTTCTGTCATTAACCTTTGCTGAGGACCCAGCCAAATCAACCAAGGACAAGGAACATATGTACAATGCCAGGCCTGAAATTGAGGTACTGCCAAGACTTTATTTTATTTTTGTTTGGTGTTTGAATTAAAAAATGCGCCTGCCATGTTTTGTTAGAACACCTGGCATGCTTTTCTTGAGTTACAAAACTTAGGCTTTTGCAAGTTTTATGTTGGCGTAAAGTGGCTACAATGGAAGTCAAAAGAACTTGAGACACAGTGCAGTGCTGCATCCCAACCTTGAGATAAGGGGGAGGCCTAGTCATCCAGATCCTTACATAAGGGAGGACGGGGGGAAGGGGTGGCCCCCCCAAATTTTTTCGGCCCTTCAGGCCTTAGTTTGGTCTAAAAATAAGGGGGGCCCAGGCCCCCCGGGCCCCTCCTCTGGATCCACCACTGCAGTGGAAGAACCCTTCCAAGTAATATATAGGACTCTGTTCCTAACAACAATATTATTTTTGGACCTGCTTTGGGTTCATCTCTTCATCCCCCCCACTCCCCCACCCCCCCCCCCACCCCCGACAATGTTGTGACATCGAACGGACTCATTTCCACCCATTGCGCTCAAAATTCAACATTTTTGGGGGTGGGAGCCCACCGCAGGGGAGAGGTTGCCAGTTTTACTAATATCACTGGAAAGGTCCCAAAATGTTTGACCTCCATTGTAAGTGATGCTATCTTAAGCAGTTCCAGCAGTTGGCAAAAATGTTCACAGATTTGACAGAAATTAATATGAAAATACCAGTTACTCCTTCAAACTGCATAAGAATTCAGTATTAAGACTAGTATCATGGGTGGCCAAAACTGCAGAGGTTCAATTGACAACAAATTACACTCATTTGACTTGAAGTACAGCTTGTCTCAATTTCTATGTAGGTGACATATCATGCTACAAAAGCAGGACAAATGCAGTTTGCAGAGTTATTTTTTAAATTTTATATATTTTGAACTTGAAATTTATGTTGCCAAGTGAATCAGTTCATTATGCTCTGTCTGTTGTTGCTCTCAAGACTCAGAACCATCTGAATTTTAAATTACAGTTTCAAAATATATTTCATGTTGTTGCCTTTAATTTAGCACATGTTCCGTGTCCCAGAGAAGCGTCCCCCAAAGGCCGTCTCAACAGCCTTCACATTTCTCATCTTTGTCCCACTTGCTATCATGCTTATTGTGGTAAGTTTTCTTTGCCTTTATAGTAGTTTTTTTGATGGATAATTTTATTTAAGTTTACACTTGCTTTAGTGTTGAATTGCTTTCCTTCTTGTTTAGCTGCATAAATCTCATGTCACTCGATGAAGGGAAAAGCAATTCAAGACTTCACAAACTGGGGAAGGGGAGGGGGAAGAAGAATATTGGCATGAGCTTTTGACACAAGGATTTCTGGGATTATTTGGGTCCAGTAGCGTTTTTAGTCATGATTGGTCAGTGGTATCCAAGGGCAACCATAAATCGGTCATAGCTTACTATTGTCCACCCAAACGATAACCAAAAAAACTGCGATCAGTCTCCCTTTTCCTTCAGATTTAGTAAGGGTAGTGCGCGCCCTTTTCCTGTATTGTGCGTTTTGCTCGACAGACTAACAAAAAAGAGAGACAGCTATTTGTCTAAAAGCCTAATATCTTCATACTAATAATGTAGTGGACAATAGTAACAGAGTGGCTCCCCCATTTAACAAACTGTAGCGTACTGGTCATCACGTTGCGTTAAAAGGTATCGACCAAAACCATAGATAGCGATCGGTGATACTTCACAATTTATTTATCGTTTAGGCACGTAAAAACTGTAACAGAAACAACAATGAAATTAAATAACCGATCACGATATAGTCATAAAGCACAAAGCAGGATTACAAACGATTACACAATCATCGGGCCTCGCCCCCTAAGCTCGTGCGCATGCACGTTAGTAACGCAATACGAAGTAACGCATTCGTAACACAAACTCCTATACAATAATGAACAAGTGGATATAATGAACAACATTCTTAACGCTTCTTGTAGTTCCTGTATGTAACTTACCCTTGCCACTTCATTAGAGTTCAGGCGTGCTTTCCATTCACTCCAAAATTCCGGAAATTTTGGTTAGAAATCAGATGGAATAAACCATTCCAGTTTGTTCCAACCGAAATATTTGGGAACTCCACTTTGACAAGTTTGGTCCCTTTCTATTTGAAGAAGGTATTGTCCCCAGTACAGCCCTTCTGTTTCCTGCATAATCCAAACTCCCGGTGGCTTGGGCTCAGTACTGTGCAACATGAATTATGTACTGTTCCATTGGGCACGTGGAATTTCCGAAATTTCAAACCGGAATTTTTTGTTGAATTGAGAGCGCTCCAGGTTTCTTAACAATGTAACTTAGAGCACCGCCGTGCTTTAACAGTATCGCCTTTTTTGCAAGTAATACAAGAGTGTTCTTACATATGTAAATGCTACATATAGTACATATAGTGCGCTGTTTATAAAGTACTAAGAATTTGCACCAGTCTGTGTAATGTGTTACTAGTTTGTGATGTTTTTCTTCAGTTGAGCTAGTGACTTAAGATGGTGCTACAGAGATGATCTTATCTCCACCGAGACTTCTCAATTTAATGAGATTTCTTGACTAAAAATAAGATTACATTACATTGGTCCAACCACACTTTGTATACATTTACGAAATTTCAACTGCTTAGAACTGAGGTCTGTCATTGAATTCTGTGTGACCATCAAAATCAAAGCTATCAAGCAGTACTTTCTTATAGCACTGGTTGTTATGCCACACAAGGTTGATGAATTTTTTGACGTTGTGGTTGAAGTGACCAGAACTCCTGAAAATAAAACGTGAAGGAATGTAATGCACCGTATGGAATCCCGGGCCATTGTCTGCTACAGTCTCGCAGTCCTCAAAAGTTACGTAATAAATGGGGAAAATAAAAACTGCGTACATGTATTTACAAATATTGTGATTTTTCTTTTGAAATATGTGATTCTTCTTTCTTTAAGCCTTTGCATGAAATTAAGAGAACTAATTTAATACATTTGTGAACTACGGGACTGTGGAAATAGTCGTTCTCCTTTAATAACTGATTTCAATAAATTCTCAGACGACAACGAGGACTGCAAACCTGCAGGATCGATGCAGGAGCAGTTGTCAGACCACTTGACTGCAGGAGGGGTCGTTTATATACTTGATTTAAATAGATTTATTGACTACAGTACACCGTGACTGTGGGAGTGTCAATTAAAAGCACACTATTTTTTTTTATCACTGCGGGACAATTGCCTTTTATCGCCTCTAGGTGACCAGGTGTTCCGAAGTTGCTCCTGGATTTTTAAAGACTGTTTTCTGTTTAGTCGACGTGAGAGCTTTCATCGGTTTTAATTGTTAAAAACTGTGACTTTTGTTTAACTTTCAGTGGATAAAATTGGGAGCAAATCTATCAAATTTCCAGTTTTCTCTTGGTGGAATTGTCTTTCACCTTGGACTGGGAGGTGAGTATCTCCAGAATGACCAACATCAATTTTCTCCTGACAATATCCATACATCATCAAGAGAAGGTTATGAGAATTAATAAAATGATCACCAAAGAGAAAATGCCTTGATCTTTTGACAAATCCTCTCAACCAAACCTGAAGGGAATGTTTATTATGCTCTACAAGGTTGCTCTAACTTTTGAGTCTGTGGATCCTAATGATTGTATGACCATTCAAATGAAAGATACTGATCAGTACTTTCTTGTGGGACTGTTTATTGTGCTGTACAAGGTGGCTCTAACTTTTGATTCCTAAATGCAAGGACTCAATTGGAAGCTACTGAGCCGTTCTTTTCGGCGGTACTGTTTTTTATGCTCTATTAGGTTAATCTTACTTTTGAGACTGTGGATAAAATCCTTAAGGGTCATTGTATCAAAAAAAGCTTTTCAGCATAATTAAAAAAATGTAGGTCGTACTATACTGTGTGGTTCTGAGTGTGGCAGTTTTATTCATACACGTAGTTTTGAAAGCTTTAGTGGAGTGAAATTTTAAAATACTTTAATTTAACATTTTACTGAAATTCACTTACGGTATGCCATACATTGTTCTAACATTTAAATGGGTTTGCTTTTCTTTTTCAGCCATTTTCGTTCTGTACTACTGTTTCTTCGTCAGCCTGGTATGTTTTTGATTTTGTCATTAGGTAGCTTAAGCAACGACGACGGCGACGGCAACGAGAATGGCATAAAAGCAATAGGTTCAGATTGGCAAAACAACAATTTTGCACGTGCATCACGCTTCTTTGTATATTTCTTTGCCGTCAATGCACGACTACAACGTGAAAGTGCCCATACGTTGTTCAGGTTTTCAGTTATTCCTTCTCCGGTAACCTTACTTAAAACTTTTTGTTGCAGTATATTGATTATACGGTAATTAAACAATTATTTGATGAGGCAGAGTATGATATGAAGAATTATGCACATCTAGGGAGGGTGATATCTGCCAACATACAAGGCTGAGGCGGCTAACATTCTCCTTGATTAGCATAATTCTTTACATCATCGGAAAGCCGGCTGCTTCTTCACTGTTCGAATGTTTTTACAACTTGACTTCTCCGTAGAATGTACTCAAAACCATCAACAGTTCTTCAGCCGGTTTACGATATGAACGGATGTTTTTTTCTTGGCACTTGATATTTTAAAAAATGCAGTCGACGTCTTTCAGTAGCTTTTTTGTATATTGTTGCGTAATTTTCCACTAGTGATAAGGTTATTTTGATCTAAAGGGTTTTCTTTATCGTTCTTCTCACTATAGCCACTTAGATATTGATCGCGCCGTTTTGACCGCATATTGCAGATCTTCGGCAGGTGATACCACCGTGGTCACGAACCTCGCTCATGGATGATGGGTTTCGATCCCGTACATTGTTGGCATTATTAGAGGACGAAATTGCAGTTCCCTTATTGCTCCTTTTATTTTCCTCTTACTAAGCTCTCCAAAGCTTCCCGTTTTGTCAATCATCCAATAATTAAAACTCTACTTGACAAGTGGAGGATATCTTCAAAACTTTGTCTGTGTTAACTCACTATATAAAATTATCTTGGGATTTAGACTAATCAGAAACGGAGATATTTAATTTTTTTATTGTTCACAGAACATGTTCACGACTCTGAAAATCTTGGCTGTGATTGGTGGATTGACATTCTTGGGTGGCAACAGTCTTCTGAGCAACATCGCAGCCCGCAGGTGAGCTGGGACGAGTTTTTATTCCAAACCTCCAGAACAGTTTCTGTGGAGTTGCATTTCGTTCTTGTTTCAAAAGATTTTAAAGCAACATTGTCTTTCTATCTCTTTCAGGGGTAAACGTCCTGCGATGTAAAAGAATTAGGCTTGCTTTAAATTCTTCATTTTTACAACGTGTTTATTGTTCAATAAAGTAATTCTTTAAAATAACAAACGTCCTTTTTAACTCCTGGATTACGATTTCGGCTCGGGATTTACAAGCTTTCCTCGTGTTCTCCCAACATCCCGCGTGGGTTATCACGCCGGTAAACCCATAGAAGTGTGGTCTATTGCTTTTATAAATTAACTTTAAGTTTTCTATGAGTTTACCGGCACAATAAACCATAGGTTTTCAACCAATCAGAACGCGCGTACTATCTCAGTTATTTTATAATGTTCAATAAAGTAATTCTTTAAAATAACAAACCTCCTTTTTAACTCCTGGATTACGCGTAGCGTAAGGAACTAGTTTCGTAATTAGTTAGCTCGCACGAGAAGGCCCGACGTCCATACGGCAACTGTCGTAGATCGATCGTTCCCGTTCCGCGATCATGAAGTGCTGAGCGTGCGTTGTGCCCAGTGCTTGTGATGTTATGATTTTGTACCTTTAAAAGGACGATAAGTGTCTTAATATGGACTTGCTGTTTCAAATACGGATTATGGCCCACTCTGAGCACAGGCAGCCCAAGCTCACGTCACGTGAAAGGATTAGATTAATTATTAGCGGTGTGCGAGCCGGGACGTGACTGTTCAACGAAAGCGGTATTGGGTTACATGGCGGCCGTGAATTTATAAAGGATTTGTATGGGAATCCACGTTATAGATTTAGGAAGATAAATACTCGTAGAAATTCTCAATAAAAAACGTCTTACCTTATTTACATGGTGTGTTCTTGCTTGCTGTGTGGTTATTTTCCCGATCCGGTGCGATTTTAGCGATTTTTTTCATTTCTGAGTTTCC